GGAGGGGGAATGGGGGGGGGATCGAACCTGAAGTGAGCATGTTGTTAATGAGTTCCAAGAAGCCTTCCTCAGCAACATGGCCATCAGTAAAGAGGAACACAATCTTCTTATTCTCAATACCCAGCTTGAAGTACAGAGTTCTCAGGTCTTCACGTAGGTTTGACTCATTATATCCTCGACTAAGTGTGATCTCAAACATCTGGAAAAATAACCATTAATATTGCTGTGGCTTTATCTTTATGTTGTACAAGAACAATTCCAACTTTGATTTTTTTACAGTAAATCAAAACACATCATGTATGTATATCTCTTTTGAAGTATGAAAGAAACTACATAAATGAAACACTAGTTTTCAAATCATCTGCTGATCTCAATGTGTTTAAGAAAACCTCATATCCAGCAGTGAAGGCAGCCAGCCTTGTGAGCGACTGCTTGCCAGAGCCTCCAACACCAACCAGCAGTGCATGGCCACGATCTACACGGATGATGCGGTGAACCCGGGTCAGATGTTCCAGAGCATCATCAAACAGCACTAAGTTCATCTGTGTCTTTGTCTCGTTGTATTCTTCAAGAATTTCCTAAAGTGAAAGAAAATAACCAATCCCATTTCTGCTAAAGAACATAAAATTAAAATAAATTATAGTGGTGTTGAAATCAGTGTATTTATAAGGTTTCAACCTGGAAAAGAGCTTTTGAAGCCTCATAGTCCTGCATGTCCTCATAGACCCTGGGTTCAATCTCACTGAGGGCGTTCCTGTAATCTCCAAAAAGAATGGGGTCCCTGAGAACTGAATCCATGTCTGACCTAAAATAGTTCACAACCAGGTTCTTGATGTGATCTTGAACCTGAACAAAAAGAAACCAATTTAAAGGTACCATCTGGACCATAAAAAATTAAAAATATATTATGTGTTTGTTATTATCCATTACCAAGGCTTTGTCCGTCTCATCGATCAGTCTGTCATGGAAGATTCTCAAACATTCATTTCTCCAAACTCGTACAAACTGAGTCACAGTTAAAAACCTGTAGAAGAGAATCAGGTTAAAATAAAGAGAAAAAACTGAACAAAAATTTGATCATTGAATGATTTTGGAAGATGAGACCGGTCTGCTTTGGTGAGGGTGAGTCCATTGTAGACTCTCGATAAGTCCCTCAGGTTAAAAATGTAGTGGAACTTCGAAGGAGTCGGTGGTAGGTCTTTGATGATGTTATTGTAGAGCTCCAGTGTGCAGGAAGTGAGTTTGTCACAAACCTTCTGGATGGCATCCTCAAAAGACTAAAACACCCAGAAGAGAAATTAAATAACGTTTGTATTTTTGACAACTTGATTGTAAATAAAATATTGTTGAGAGGAAGATGCATTGGATACTCACACTAGTGTGGCCTTTGATAATGGAGGCATAGATTAGGTGCAGTGACTCCACTGAAGGGAAGGGCATGCTGAAGACACTGAAGAGCGAGATGAATCGAGGGTCCACCTCGTTCCTCCCACCTCCTGCCTTTCCCATGGCAGCAATGAAGCCAAGGTCTTTCAGAACTTTGTAGTTGAGCTCTTTTCCTCTGGCATAAATTCCTCCTCGGTCCAGAAGGAGCTTTAGGAGTGCGATAGGCTGCTGTGTGTTGTAGTTATCCACCTGAATATGGAGAAAGCATCTTGTATATTCTTTTATTAACATTCCTAAACAGACCTTATCCTACATGTTTTTGGACTGTTGGAGGAAACAGGAGTAACTGGAGAACACAACAGTTCTATGTACCTTTGGCATATTCATGTCATCCATAAAGATCAACAGTCTTTTTCCCATGGTAGGTCCATAGATCTCTTTGGTCCTTTTCTCCACATTGGCCTCCAGGTTCCTCTGCACGTCCAGTGATGCGGTTCGGGAGGAGAAGTTCATGATCAGAGTGATCTAGAAAAAACAAACAGAAATTGTCTGATTTGACGTAAAAAAAAAGGTTGGATGGTTTGTTTTTTTCAGAGCAAACATACTGTTTTATCTGTGTTGAGGTTTTTAAGGAAGTTATGAATGGTGGCCGTCTTGGAAGTGCCAGATTCTCCGACAAGAAGCACAGGCTGCTTGATCTTCACCATCTGCTCCAGGATCCAACTGGCTCGTGTAGTGTCGATAGTTGGCACTAAAACAAAGATGGAGGCAAAAAGTATTTGCTAATTTTCAGTATGCCAACTTTTTCCATCGGAACTTGAAGAGTGGGTTTTACCAAGAATATCGGAAAACTTCTTTTCAGGGTCGTGAATGTATTTTGTGACCAAGGAACTCCAGGGAACCCACTTCTCTTCTGTACCATCAAAGTGGAAATCATATAGAGTTGGTAGGTTTCCTGGGAGAACACAGAAAACGTGTTGTCAATAGGTAATTACATATGACTGCAATAATCAGGGTAGTAATCTAGGCAAAACTACTACGTTTGTACAATATGAAAGTCAAACATCGACTTTAGCCACAATTCAACAGTATTTGAAGAACTGGCAAGAAATGCATAATCTTAACATTGGCTGGAGTCAATCCCAGTAGGGAATGTGTCAGGGTTCAGACAACATTGACAGACAGGGGAATGAACCAGCAAGCTGGGGATTCGCTGCACGACAAAATGGCTACCCCATAAATATTATCAGATATTTATATATATAAATTAACATTTAGAGGTTCAATATTTCACCTGGAATCTCTCCAGGACCAGCCAGGAGTTTCTCTTCATACACTACAGTCAAACAGGAAAGTCTTTTAACATGTTCATCAAACGTGATCCTGTCATTTCCCAGTAAGGAAGCTCCGAGTGAGCAGTACACAGCTTCCAGGAAGTGAGACTCCAGGACTTCAGCTCTGCTGCTGTCAGGCTCCAGGAGAGCATCCAATATCAGGCAAAGCTGAGACACCTGAAGAAAAACAATATATTTTACTCCATTTATAAATGGCATTACAATAGTAAATGTAAACATTTACATGCGAGTTTAAGCCACCATGTTCAGATCTGTCCGTGGGACCACAGCCTTCAGCTTCTGTCCCTGTTTACCGTCAACAATGCCGTCCACAATCAGGTCGATACAGCTGGGCACGTATTTTTCAAACAGTTTGTTGAGAACTTCTCCTTCCTGGAAAACCCAAACGGTTCACAGTGGTTGTTAAGGTACAGCAGTGCAGTTATGTGTAAACTGTAATTGTGTTGCCAAACCTTTTTAGATCTGCTGCTCAGCCATTTCTGCAAGTAAGGAGCGTATCTCAGGTTCTTCGGGTCAACAAAAACCATCCCACAGCGGGAAACGGTGGCCGGGGAAGCAAACTGCAGATCTCCGACCTGTAACGATGAGGACTTCTTAAAAGCCTGCTCCCACACAAGCTGAGGCTTTCTCTCTTAATAGAAACACAACCTCAAACAGCAGAGCGCAGTGATTCTGTAAACGGATCCGTTCTCCGTTGGCCAGCGTGAGGAGTTTGTTGTCATCCATGACTGAATTCATGTTCTCCACCCAAAGAGCGTCTACGTCACCATCAAACAGGATGTACCTATGGATAGGAAAGACTCTGTATTTTCTGCTGCATTTCACAGGAATTAATGTGTTTGTGTGTGAATAAACACAATAAATTACATCATTACATCTCCTCTACATCAGCTTCTGTGAGGACAGCTGCATACCAACACGAACTAGGATGAGCTACAACAATGACAAACCCTGGTTCACAGCAAAACTCAAAATACAGGTTTAGCAAGGAGGTGATGAAAGCTAAATGACAGTATTCTGAGAAACTTCAACACGAGTTCTCAGCTAACAACTCTGCCTCTGTTTGGAGAGGGCTCAGACAAATCACCAACTACAGTCTTAAAGTCCCCCCCTCCATTAACAACATGCGCCTTGCAAATGAGCTGAACGACCACTACTGTTGCCCACCCCACCCACTGCAGGAACTCTGACACCTTATCCAGATCCCCCAGCTTCCCCCCTCACCTCTACCACTGGACTGACTCTTGCTATCAAAGAGCAAGACGTGAAAAGGCTTTTCAAAAACAAAACCCCCACAAAGCAGTCGGACCAGAACACATCTCACCTGCTACCCTGAAGCACTGTGCTGACCAACTGTCCCCAGTGTTCACAGACATTTTCAACACCTCACTGGAGATATGCCAAGTGCCATCCTGCTTTAAATCCTCCACCATCATACCCGTCCCCAAAAAGCAAAAACCCTACGGACTAAGTGACTACAGACCCAATGCCTTAACCTCTGTCCAGACCTTGTCCAGACACACCTGAAAGCCATGACTGATCCACTCCAGGACACCCTGCAGTTCGCCTATAGAGCCAACAGGTCTGTAGACGATGCAGTCAACTTAGCCCTCGACTTCATCCTGCAGCATCTGGACCACACAGGCACCTACGCCAGGATCCTGGAGTTTAGCTCAGCTTTTAACACCATCATCCCAGCTATCTAGTAAACTACTCCAGCTCAGTGTACCTGACTCCACCTATAGGTGGATCACTGACTACCTGACTGACAGAATGGATGTGAGGATACCCTACGGACTAAGTGACTACAGACCCAATGCCTTAACCTCTGTCCAGACCTTGTCCAGACACACCTGAAAGCCATGACTGATCCACTCCAGGACACCCTGCAGTTCGCCTATAGAGCCAACAGGTCTGTAGACGATGCAGTCAACTTAGCCCTCGACTTCATCCTGCAGCATCTGGACCACACAGGCACCTACGCCAGGATCCTGGAGTTTAGCTCAGCTTTTAACACCATCATCCCAGCTATCTAGTAAACTACTCCAGCTCAGTGTACCTGACTCCACCTATAGGTGGATCACTGACTACCTGACTGACAGAATGGATGTGAGGATAGGGAAGCACACCTCAGACTCCTGGACCATCAGCACTGGCTCTCCACAGGGCTGTGTCCTTTCTCCTCTGCTCTTCTCCCTGTACACAAACACCTGTACCTTGAGCCATCATAACATTAAGCTCCTGAAGTTCGCGGATGACACCACCCTCATTGGACTCATCTCTGATGGGGATGAGTCAGCGTACAGATGGGAGATTGACCGCCTGGTGACCTAGTGTAGACTCAACAACATAGAGCTCAATGCAGTAAAAAAGGACAGTGGACTTCAGAACGAGCGCACCCCCATCCACGTCCAGGGCCCTGGGTGATTCTCCTGTGGATACTGTGGAACACTTCCGCTTCCTGGGAACCATCATCACCCAGGACCTTAAATGGGAGCCAAACATCAGCTCCCTCATCAAAAAAGCCCAACAGAGAATGTACTTCCTGAGGCAGCTGAAACAGTTCAATCTGTCAAAGTCAATGATGGTGAACTTCTACACCTCCATCATCGAGTCTATCCTCACCTCCTCCATCTCCATACGCTGTACGCTGCTGCCACTGCGAAGGATCTGCGCAGACTGCAGCGTATCATCCGCGCTGCTGGGAAAGTAATTGGCTGGAACATACCGTCGCTACAGGATCTGTACAACTCCAGAATCCAAAAGCGAGCTAAAAAGATTGCAACCGACCCCTCTTACCCCGGTAACAAACTCTTTGAGGCGCTCTGGTCTGGCAGGAAAACCTCTCGCCACAGAAACAGCTTCTACCCATCTGCTATTACCCTTGTCAACAGACGAAAAGGCTCTCACTGATCCACCCCCACTCCCACCCCTACCTGCACATACACACCCCTGCACTTTTCTGTACTATTCTGTAAATGTCCAACCATAGGCATAATTTAATTTATTTTATATGTATACCTTTCTTTCACTGCAATGCCACCACAAATTCCTCGTAGGTGAAAACCTACCTGGCAATAAAAACGTTTCTGATTCAATTAAGTTTTCCAACCTCCTCTCTTCCTTATCAGTAGGCTTGTTGATGTCACGAAAGATATTGGAGAAAATCCCATCGGTCCAGTCTCTAGTATCGGGGTCCAGGACACCATAGAGTTCAATGACACTCATGGCTTTTGGGTTCAGAGGGTAAATCTTGGTATGAAGGCCCATTCTGAGGTTATAATGAAAATATAAGTTACATTTAGTCTCATGTACAATATCACTGTATCATAGTATAAATGTAGATGATGTAAATCAGGGGTGTCAAACTCATTACAACCTAATCAGTATTAAGTATTTAATGAATCTGAAATAATTAAATACTGAATAAATAATGTAATTTTACAAAAATATCCTGAATTCTGAATATCATGAAGTGTTTGTGTATTTTTAATTTTGAAAAAATTAAAGTGGATTGAAATGACACTCGAGCAGGACGGTTTTGGCCTGTAGGCTGTATGTTTGTACACTCTGATGTAAACTAATACAGACCTGGTCTGAGCTTGACATAAGGTTCTAATAACAACTGATTTCCCTCCACCGGTGGGTCCTACGACCATGGTCGTGTGTCTGGTCATCATTGTCTCGTACAGCTGCACCACCTTGTCCACCTGACACCAGTAAATCCACAGGAAAAGGAAATTATTAATAGTAATCTCTGTGTGTGTGTATAAACATACAGCACAGGAAGATGGAACAGAGGAGACACCTGGTCAGGAAGGACAATATATTTGTTTTCTTGTAATATCTGCTCCACAGTGTCGTTAAAGTTGGGATATCGAACACGAGGACAACTCAGCTGAGGGAACAGATCTGAGATCAGTCCCAGGAACAGAGGCACGTCCTCAAATACAAACTTTGGAAGGTTCATGTCCCTGAGGGCACGCATTAGCACCACATCCTGTCAAAAACATTTTAACATAGAATATTAAAATCATAGTTTAGTATAGCCTTCATTGAAAACTATATGGTTTGGTGTTAAATCTAACTCAGTGAAGGAAATGTTTGCTTTTCACTGTACAAGGGTAAAATTCTGCACCTCACTCAGCTCTGGTGATCCGCTCTTCAGCTCTCCTGCCATCACCAGCACAGACTTCAGGGCTCGCAGGCCAAAGTCATAATGGGACTGTTTGGAGAGCTGCTCATGAGCCAGTTTATACAACACTGTCATCTTCTTCGCCAGCACCTAAAAATGAAGCAATAAATTCCACAGTAAGAAATACACAATGGAGTTAAAGCAGTGAGTCTGCTGAATTATTTATTATATTCTTTATTATCCGACCTTAGCCATCAGGAAGCCCTCAGAGAAGAGCATGATCTCACAGATCTGCTGCAGGTCTGGTACAATGACCACCACTGGCCTGAAGAGGGCCTTCACTGACTCTGGCAGCTCTGTGCGACCTGCATACCCTGGGTTCATGGTGATGAAGATCCCCATACGGTTGTCCAAGCTGATCTCCTGTCCCTCAAACTAAAATGTGCACATGAAGTGGTTGTGATTTTGAGATATTTGCATTTTCTGAACAACTCCAAAATCTCTAGACCATGTACCTACATGAAACCTTTTTAGGTGCAGTATGAGAGCATTGCGTATGGTCTGGATTTGGGAGGAGATCACTGACAACACTGAGGCATCAATACGATTAAACTCATCAAAACAGCCCCAGGCTCCACACTGGGCAAGGCCGGAGAAGATCTTACCCACAGCCTGTAGAAGAGAGAAATAACTGTTTGTGAAATGCAGCAAATAAAAGCCACTGTAAACTCTGTATATTAAAAAGAGTGTGAATATTCAATGGATGGTTATTAGATTATTTATTTTAATCTGAATTATCAGATTCATTTCTAATGCTTTTATTGACCGATGACAATCTGCTCTTGAAAAAAATAAGTAAGTAATAAATAAGTTTTGGTAAGTGGTATTTTATTTATTTGAGCATTCCAGTCAAATGTAAAATAATGCTTGGTTAAAGATAATTTACTCAAGAACTCTGCATCTTTTCTATGGTCTTTCACTAGAATTGTTTTAACTATGTGACCTGCGTGATTGTTATGTCGCACAAACACAGACAACGGCTGTGTCAACTGTGTACTTTATTTTTCATAACCATAACTCCTATAACCATAACTGCCAACACTTTGCACCAGTGTCTCCTGACATCACACTGTCGTAACAAGTATACATCACAGTGATCTATTTATCTGTTTTTTTTTGGCTCAATGAATGGTCATGACAAGTCATACAACCAATAATTTTGGTTTGTTTTTAAGTATATATATATATATATTTTATTTATGCGTTTAATCGGCTGCAGCCTTCTTACCATGTAGTCCATGCCTTCACCACAGTTTGTTACTACACAGAGCAGACCTAAAGCCTTGGCCAGGTCTTTGGTGGTCTCTGTCTTGCCTGTGCCAGCTGGTCCTGCTGGAGCTCCACCCAGGTACATGGACAGAGCCTGTTGACAGAACAAAACGGCGATAGCTAAAACAAAGACAGAATATTTCACCTCTTCACCTTATTACTGTAGTGGGTGTTACTATCAAACCTGGGTGAGAGTTAAGTAAATCCTGTCAGTCAGTGGTGTTATAACCAGTCGACCGTTCAATCCCATGTATTCATAACCATACGTGAATGAAGCGCTGCACTGACACACAAACAGGTCGTCCTGTTCCTGGAACCAGTAGAATCGGAGTTGGCTTTCCCACTCAAACTCACGTGCGTCGTTAATACTAAAAAGATATTCTGGACAATTAAAATGTACCTTCAAACATGACATTGAGACACACAGCAAATTGCGAAAGTTCTACCTGTTAAGAACAAAACCATCGACAATGTCTCTAGCATGAACGTCAAGGATGAGCACAGTGTTCAGCTTCCGTCTGTCGTTCTTCTTCATTGGTTGTGTGATACGTTTGACCAGATCATCAATCTGCTGGTGCATTTTCTGAGCGTAGTCCTTCAATGCATGTTTCTCCCCTGTCTTCACCTTATTAAAGATGTCCTCCACCTCCCACGTCCACCACACTTGGTTTGCCGCCAACACCATCATGCCCTGGAACTGCAACATCCAGTCCACCCTGAGAAACACAGGCATGGAAGGTCTCTGTGGGTCACTTTGATAAAGAACAGCAGAATCATAAATGGTAGATGTCATAAGTGAAGGGTATGCAAACAGTGAAGCAGAGGGAGAGGGGATAGATCAGTGGTAGATGTCCACACACACACACACACACTTACCTGCTCTGGTCTTCACAGTAACGAAAGATGGCCTCCTTGGTGATGAGTCTATTGGTCCTCTTCATCTCCTGTAAGACTCCAGTCATCCACTCCTCCACTCTGCCTTCCACTGTCACTGGTTTCCTGAACTCTATCACCTCACCCTCAGCAGAAACCATGGCCTTAGCTACTGTATCCCTGTTGCTTTCCACATCAAACCTCAAAGATGCAACGTTGTCGTACATCTGTTTGGACAAAGAAAGAAAAATGGATATGCAGAACATGGACAGTATATACTTTGTTAACGTGGGGACAGTACCTTGATCATGTGCTCTTGGACACAGAGAGGGTCAATACTGCCCAGGATGCTGAGAAGTTCGTCGTCGGAGATAAAGAAGAAGCGAGGAAATCCATTCCGTTTGGAATCCAAGTAGTCACTCAGACTCTTCTGACACCTCTCCAGACCCTCACTCAGGACCTGCAGCTCTGTTAGTCGGTTAGGAGCCAGGCAGCATCGTTTAATGTAGGGGTTCCTCACGGTGTCAGCCATTACCTGCAAAGAGTGAAAACATGATTACATTTATTTTAAAGAACAGGGTTTAGGTTATTCAAAAAAAAAGACTTACTTCTTTAAACTTTTTGTCAATGGTATCAAATGTCTGGGCTTCTTCTGGTAACTGTGAGCGAATGTCTCCACCAATAAATATGCTCTCTAGGTACATCCATTTACGCTGCACTAGCAACCACACCTGTGCATAAAAAATGGACACTGTGTTTAGAGACTCTTTGTGGATTCGGCTAAGTCAGATATCAGAGTCGGTATCAGACCTCTATGGTTTCACTAATGAGGGAAAGTTCTTTTTCCAGTTGTTGGATGACATCAAGAAAGTGACCGATGAAACAACTTCCTGCCATGCTCTGCAAGTTCATGGTATCATTTTCCAAATTCAGGAGAATCTCGTCTACTACTCCCAGAATGGATCCACGTTCCTGAGACCCCTTGAAATATGGCTGAACAGTGAACTTGGCGTTCTCCCAGGTCTCCACCACCTCCTTCACTCCCTAGAAGCACAAAACCATTAACCTTTCACACACTGGTCCAGTTTAAGGACAAGAAAAGAAAAGAAGACAGTTACCTTCTCAATGCTGAGCTCCTTAACAGCAGAGGTGACAATCTCTCCTATTACATTTGCATATTTATTCAACTCCATGGCAAACATGTTCTCCAGAGTGAAACTGTCAAGGTTCATGTCGAAGGACGTTCCGGTTCTTTGCATCAGTTCCTTCCAGTGTCTGTAAATACAAATGTATTATGTACTGTATTATGAGACATCAGACTCTTAATGACTGTTTACATTTTCACGGTTGACCCCAAGGCCCCACCCAACAGGGTGGACCTGAAGTAGCTTTATTCTTTTTCACCTAGAGTATATATTTGCTGTACTCCCCACCACCAGTTAGAACTGAAGAAGCCTCTTGGATTAGAGGTGAAACGTCTCCTTTTAGAAAATTCATATCCAGTTGCCTAACAGAACTTTCAAACTTGACTATGACCTGGATGACTGAGAATCTTCATAGACATACTGTATTATGCTTCACACTCTGTCTAAGTTACTAATGAGCTTTTTAAAGACTGACCGTTCTCTCAGGGCCTCATTCTTCAGGTCCAGCAGGAGAGGCAGAGTGTCCCTGAACTCTTTCATGCGTCCCTCCAGGAAAAATGCCACTGACATCGCCCGGACATCTTTGGGCAACTGCCTGAAGCTTTTGATGAAGCCCTCAGCTCCTTCTTGCAGCAGCTGGATGTTTAAATCCCCCCACAGGGTCTCAGACCATTTGGTCTTTGCATCCTGGATGATTTAAAGACACAAATGAAATGCAAATATTAGACAGATGTTCAGAAAAAGGAAACTGTAACAACATTTTACAGTAGATAAAAACAAATCACACCTTTTGAGATGTGTACAAGTCATAAATGACTCTCAGGTTCTTCATATCCTTCTGCACGTTGATAACTTCTGGGTACACAGTAACATGCAGGTCCAACAGTTTTTCAGCATTGGATAACTCCTGCCATTTTGCCACCATCTTGGCAAGATCTGCTTCATATTTGCCCAAAATAGACATTCCTGCATGGACAAAAATAAAAAAAGAAAGGCTCACTTGCAGCATTCCTATATATATTAAGGCTATAGATAAAGGAAAAAGGGAAAGCTAAAGGCACCTTTCTCCAAATCATCTCCCACCGCTCCAGGTCCACGCATATGGAAGCTTTCAGCAAAAATACACACGTCCTGCATAAACTCTTCAATTTTCTCCTTTGTAGTCTTTGGAGGAAAACGACAAATGTGTGTAAATGTTTACCACTAAGAAAAAACTATGCTTTTCTTTGTCATTTCAGGCAAAAATGGTTTTGACATTCGACCTCAGTGAAGGATTTCTTGACATCTGTCAAACTTTCATCGACTCGTCTGGATTCTTCAAACAGGTCTTTCCACATCTGGTCAATATTTTTATTCAGCTCCAGTTCATCCTCTCCGACCTAAGAATATGTACAAACACAGATCTTAAAACTCAGAACCCAGGTCCATGTGCTTTTTTCGAAGAACAATTAATCACTGTGCCAACGTACCTCCATCTCGTACATGGCCAGTGTCCTGTATCTCTCCTTTATATCGATGTATCTCATCTCCACCTGCAGAGACATGTCTCTGATGTCTGCGATCGTGCCAAGAATGGACTTCAGATCATCAAATGTGGCAGGGCTTTGTTTCAGCTTTGCCGAGAGGTGCTTTGGTAAAAGGAAGAAACAGATGACAAAAGTAAACGATTAATTAGAGCTATCAAAATTAACACGTTAACGTTTATTCTATTGTGAAAAATAATGACTAAAATCCACTAACCCTTCTTTAAATAATTCCATAATTTTGATTAGTTACAAATAATAACAGGTGTGAAACAAAAACATCTACCTGTTGTGATAATATATAGAAAATATTTGATTTGGTGGCATATTTGAAAATTCTGATTGACCTCAATAATTCATGATTATTTGTGATTAATCCCCAGCTACTATACCAGGGGTGTCAAACTCATTTTGGTTCAGGGGCCACATACACCCTGATTAGATGTCAGGTGGGCTGGACTAGTACAATCATAACATAATTATTTATAAATAACAACAAAGACCATGTTTTTCCCCATGTTTTTATGCAAATAAGGTCGGGTTTATTAGAAATACCTTCATATTTAATTAAATATAATTTCACAAAACATCACAACCATGAAGTGTTTGTGCAGATTGAACCCCTCAATGGGCCCACAAACCATATCGTATGATCTCCGTAACTGTGACTCTCTCCCCACCTTCAAAACTCACCTCAAAACACGCTTGTTCCGGACAGCATACTCCCTCTAACCTCCCTCCTCTGTGCTTTTGTTTATCATTGATTTTTAACATGTTTCTATGCCCTGTTTTAAATTATTATCTGTTTTTATTTTATTTTATGTAAAGTGTCCTTGAGTGACCTGAAAAGCGCTTTTTAAATAAAATGTATGATTATTATTATTATTATTATTATGTTTGACACCCCTGTACTATATGATTAATCTGAATAAAATTTGTAATTTTTTGACAGCCCAAAAAAATAGAGAGCACAAAAAAAAAGACACATATTAGTACCATGAGTTCATCCTTTAGGCTGTAGAGCTCCTCTTTGGCAGATTTCTTGAGCAGTGAACCCAGGGAGATGATGTAGGACTCCACAGTCTTGTGTACAGTGTGGAGCAGAGGCTCCAGGTTTAGGTGGACAATGTGAAAGGTCTTGAACAGGGGCTCAGACAAAACCTCCTGATTGATCCGAGAAAGAAACTGCAGTTTATCGTCGTACATGACACAGGAGGGTTTTCTCTCTGCGAACTTTTCATTGCTTATCAGTTTGTTCTTCTCCCACAGGGGCCGATAGCGTTTCCAGTGACTCAGGTAGCGCTCCACAGAGAAGAAAAGTCGTTGGATGTTCTGAGACACAGTCATGGCGCTTTCATTGATCTGAGGATGCTGGCACATGTCGGTGTAGAAGCTGAATGTTACCATTTCCTCCTCTGTGCCCACTCGCTGTGGAGGGCATTCAATGCAGGTTCCACGCATCCATCGTACAAATTGCTGCAGCGTTGAAAAGAGTTCAAACACATGTCATGATAAATAACAGTGATTTATTTAAAAGCCATGATGTTCTTACCTTGGTGCTCTCCACACAGTCTCTGACACACTGCATGAGCAGCCAGTAGATCTCTTTACTCTGGGGCTGTAGCACAATCTTAGGAGCAGACAGGATGGCATCCACTTGGAATAACACGGCACTTCCCATTAGTGCATTGTTGAAGGCCTGGAGGTTCCTACGATGATATGAAAAAGCTGTAGGGTCAAAACACTCTGAGAATTATAGTTCATAAAGTCTTACATTCAGGTAACCTTCAATAGAACACAACAGTAATTATTAAAATTAGTGTGATGGTAATGAGATTTTAATACAAGTGGAATTAGTGCTAGTAATTAATGCTAGTGCTAGTAATGTGGTTCCATAGTGTTAGGGTTATCACTCCTAGCTTACACATTGACCAAATTGACCAAAAATCCATGTTGCGGCCTATGTAGGTTGCAAAGACTCAGACTGTGAATTGCCCCATTGTGGGAGAATTAAGGGGCTTCAATAATTAGTGGTTCCATAGTGTAGTGGTTATTTTACCTGCCTTTCACCCATAAGCAACCCATAATTGTTGCCTATTATTATATACAAACAACCATACTGAGTTATGGTATGACAAGGTGCCAAGGGAGGAATTGTGGTTTTGTATGAGGAAGTCAGGAGTGGCAGAGAAGTATGTTAGATTGGTGCAGGACATGTATGAGAATAGTACAACAGTAGTGAGGTGTGCTGTTGGGAGGACAGATGACATCAAGATGGAGGTGGGACTACATCAAGGATCGGCCCTGAGCCCCTTCTTGTTTGCTGTGGTGATGGACAGATTGACAGATGAGGTGAGACAGGAGTCCCCATGGACTATGTTGTTTGCAGATGACATTGTGATCTGTAGTGAGAGTAGGCAGCATCTAGAAGATAACCTAGAGAGGTGGAGGTTTGCACTAGAAAGAAGAGGAATGAAGGCCAGTCGCAGCAAGACAGAGTACATGTGTGTAAACAAAAGGGAGAACAGTGAAATAGTGAGGTTACAAGTAGCAGAGGTGGTGAAGGTGCAGGAGTTTAGGTACTTAGGATCAACTGTTCAGAGCTAACACCACAGATACCACAGCTTAAGACGATGGTATTCTCACCTCAGTATCATCTTTACAAGGGAGTCCATCACCTTTCGTTCCCAGTGGCTGTAATAATCCACCATACTTTTTGCTTTGCCACTGCTAGTCTCCATGATTAGATGTTCTGTTTTAGTAATGAGTGCTCGAATGTCAGTGTACTTCCTCTTTAGCACGTGGACAGTTTTTGCCCTCTCTCGTTCGATTCGTTCACAGAACTCCTTTAGACCTTTGAGGGGATTCAAAAATTGAGTTAATAGTATATTATTAATATAGTTAATTGTTAAAGTTAATAAATATCACAAAAGTAATTATTTTACCCGGCAGTTCATTTGATTTATCTAGAACAGGAACTTTTAGCAAGTTAGCCATCACCATGGACTGGAGCTTGGCATCAATTTCACTTTCATTCTTCTGAATCTGATTAATGACCAACTTAAATTTAGACACGACCTGGAGTCCTTGTTTGATGAAATTGGAAATACCTGGAATCAAAAAACAAAACAACGCTATGTCACACATTGTGCACAAATAGAAATGACATTCCTGATTTAAAACCAGATTCCTATTCAGCATACCCAGGGAATACCAGTTGATTCTTTTGCACCCAGAATGCATCACTTCTTTGACAGTTCTGATCTGTTGAGCCAACATAATGACCTTTGGTTCAGTGAGGCTGTCCATTGCAGAGTTGTAGCTGTTTACAAGGTTGGTCAGGTCTTCAACATACCTGAAATGACGAGCATAAACACATAAGAGTGGAGGATTCAGATTTGACTCATGCATTAACAAATATCGACGTATCATTACTTGACAAATCTGTGCTTTTGTAGAGCAACATTTTGTGCCACATCTGGAACAGGGTAGCCTAGTGATCCCAGGCTGTTGGTCTCCAAAATAATTTCTGTGATTTCGGGAGCAAAGTTGACGAGAAACCGCTTCCTCTGCTGTAGCTTGTTATCAGATGCTGAGGAGTTCTTAATAACAGTCTGAAAATAATATAATAACACCGAAACAAGGATGTGAGTTTGAGCGGTGAGTTAATATTAAACAGCAAACATCAATAAGTAACAGTGGCTGATAACTACCTGGTTTTCAGGCTTAACCGTGACCAGTAGGTTTTTTTTCATCAACAAAGGCAGCGTGTTCTCAGTCTCAGTCAGCCAGTCCTCATACTTCTGTGTTTCATAGTCTCTGAACTGCAGTGCCACTTGTGTATACTTGTCCTTGGCCTATATAATGTAACAAACCGGTAACACAAAAGTCTCTCGCTAACTGTCTTTATGACCAAAAAAACAACAACAAACTCACCACTTTGCATTTTTCACTCTCCTGCATCTCTGGCACTTCCAGGAATGGAAGAATGGTGCATTTAATGCGGTAGAGAAGAGATCGGACCCAGCGGATTGATCCGGCCACCGGGGGCTCATCTTTAGTGAAAGGCGGTTTGTCTTTGTTTGTCTGGAAGATTTCAATAATGCTGTCCACCTGTAAAAAGAGACCGAAATTATTTCACCATGTAAATATACACGGCACACCATTTGTACCTCATCAATGCTAAGGCCACTTCATTAGGTACGACTGCACCACTGCTTTTGAATGGAAAATCTAATCAGCCAAACACAAAACAGAAAATGTAATATTTCTAAACTGTTAAACACCACTTGCAAAACTGACTGATGAATAATGGTGTTTTAAGTGTCTTTGGATTTGACATCTGGGTTTTCACACAACCTATTATAGAAGAATCTCTTGGAAGATGATTGGCTGCCGTATGTAGTCCTGTAAATACACTTCATTATATCTCAGAAATGTATCCAGATTATTTTTGAGTCATTGGGCAAATGTGGTGATGAAAGTTGTGGCATTCTTACTAATTCAAAATAAAATGCCCTGAGTGGGTGAGGATTGATTGCACAATAATACCTCTTTGCAGTACTGAGCAAGAATGTCGTTGAACTTTCTCATCAAATGGTTACCGATGGCCTCTCTGGA